CGCACGCGCTCGCACATGGGCATAGTGAGATCAAGGTACAAGAGCAGAAGGCTGTCATCAGCCACCTTGATGGGAAATCCCAATCATTTCCGGAGCGCACCCGTGAGCACACCTGGGGAAGGGGGAACGCCGGCCTTCGGAGGTCGGTTGGATGCAGGGTCCGCTAGGACACCTGGCCACGCCCACCTCACCGAGCCCCACCCGTGGCCACGCCCACCCACCGAGCCCCACCCCATGGCCACGCCCACCTCACAGAGCCCCACCCATGACCACGCCCACCTCACCCCAGCCCCACCCCATGGCCACGCCCACCTCACCGAGCCCCACCTGTGACCACGCCCACCGACCCCAGCCCCACCCCGTGGCCACGCCCACCTCACCGAGCCCCCACCCCGTGGCCACGCCCACCCCACCCCAGCCCCACCCCGTGGCTGTCGCCCCCCGCCGCTGAGGGCATGAACAAGGTGCACTCATGGCATCCGGCAGAGCCCTCGCGGCCGTGCCCGGACCCGTGGGGAGCAGCTTCTGTGGTGGAAAAGGAGTAGGTCCTGCTCCCTGACCCGACAAAGCAGCCTGGTCCCGATAAATCACAAGTGCGCGTCGGCGGTGGAACGGCAGTCCATGACTTCAAGTCTGTACCTTTGCGTTCGAACATTCAGGGCACAGGGACGCTGCTCCCCGCTCTCTTCCCGCCCCCTTGTCAGGCCTGGCCCCTGGCTCGTGGCAGGCGGCGGGGGCCACAGTACGCGTAACCCCGTGGCAGCTCCAGGCGCCGCGGCTGAGCCGGAGGCAGGGTCCTCGCTGCACCGTTACGCAGAGCTCCGGGGTGTGGCTCGTGGCCTCCGGGTTGACGGAGGCGTCCTCTCTGTGCCCCCCGACAGGAAGGACGAGGACCGGACTGCAGTCACCCAAGGTGGACCGTGGCACTTCCGTGGTCTTGGCCCAAGGCCGGCTTACCCTCCCGGCCTTGTCACGGTGGAGCCAGAAGGAGCCTCACTCGTCGGACGTTCGCGGTCCTGCGCCATGCTGGTGGTGACGGTAACTAGATGGGGGGGGCAGGAAGTGGCACGTCCTCCAGATGTCCTTGTCCACACGCGTCCACGGTGGGGGGATCGGGCGAACTGTGCCCGGCCCTGAGTGGGCTCTGGGCGCCCCCAGCCCAGAAGCTCCTCACACCAGTGGTCAGTGCCCACTGAAGACTGGAGGCCAGCGCTCGGCGTGTGCAACTCTGTCCTCCCCAGTTGCTGCCCTGCCACCTTGGCCTCCCCAGAGGAGCCACCACCCTGGCCGGGTGACCGGCTCCACCATCAGGGACAGGGCTTCTGTACCAAGAATGTGTCAGCCTTGCCTGACCTCCTGCTGATAATACATGGACAAGTGCACACACTCCCGCCTGAGAAACGATTCAACCAGGGCTCTGAGCTCTCGGGCTAGGGTCCGTGTCACGCCAGGAGGGGAGCAACTGACACACAGACCCCCGGAGGAGAGGTACACGAGGGTACCTCATGTACACCACACAAGAGGTACATGGAGGACGGGAGCGGCCAGGGCTGTGGTCCATCCTGCTAACCGTGCTCATCTTGGGCCTGAGGCTGGTTCCAGAACTATCCAGGGCACGGTGGGAGCAGGTGGTACCGAGGTGGGCTGCACGCACCACGGGGTGCACAGAGCACCCCCTTCCACAGTTGTGTCATGTGCATCGGCAGGAAGCTTTGTGCTGTGTCTGTGTGTCCATCCTGCTCTGGGCGCTGTCCTTCCAATGCCCACACTTGCGCCATTCGGTCCCTGGCCAACACGCACACGGTGGGAAGGCCGCAGAAACGCATGTCCCTCCTGCCCCATAGCTGATGGCCGTGGGGGCTGGGAATGGCCGTGGGGGCTGGGAGATGAAAGCCAGCATCCTCGAAGTGTGGCCGACATGCCAGGGTCCCTGCAGGGTCAGGCTGAAGCCACTGCCCACGGGACTTTGACATCCACCCCCCGGGGCCTATTTCCTGAATAAACCTTTCGGATGAATCCCCGTCTCCAGGCAGACGTCTCTGGGGCCTTAATGAGCACTGACACCCCAGCTGTCACCCACGGAGCCTGCAACCAGGCTCCACTTCTAGCCAAAAACAGACCCGTGGAGCAGCTCAGATACACTTCCCAAACCTCCTGCAATTCACCGAAAATGCAAGGGACCCAAAGCAGCCGAGCAATCTTGAAAGAGAACAAAGTGCAGGACTCACGGTTCCTGATCTCGAAGCGTACTACAGTTACAGTCATCAGGCCAGTGCGGGGCTGGCACGAGGAAGATGAACAGATCAATGGGGTAGGATCGCAAGTCCATAAATAAACCCTTACTTTTGGTGGATTAATGTTTGAAAAAGACGCCAAGGCATTCAAAGGGAAAAGAAAGGTCTTTTCAAAAAACAGCACTTAAAAGAGTGCATCCACGTGCAAAATTTTGACCCTGGACCCCAACCTGATGCTATCCGTAAAAATGCACCAAAGCGGACCCCAGACGTAAAACTACACAACACTTAGAAGAAAAGGCAGCAACGAATCTTCGTGGCCTTCGGTCAGGCGGCGGTCTCTTGGGAGAGACGCCAGCAGCGGGAACGAGACAGCAGAGGTGGACACGCCGCGCTCCATCAGGTCCAACGCCTCCGCGAACGACACCTCCCGCAAAGAGGAGAAAACCCCCGGAACAGAATGCTTGCAACCTCTCTGACGAGGCCCTTGCCTCAGGACACGCACATGACTCTTAGCAATCCCGGCAGGACAAAGGGGCGTGGCTCGCCGGCTTCCGCGGAGGGGCTCCCAGTCCTCACCCCACAACCACACCAAATCAGCCCCACCTGGAAATGGGGGGGGGGGCACACCTGCAATTCCAGCCCCGCGCACCAGGGGCCGCCACCAGCAGCCAGGCCCCACTGCTCCCCAGGATCCAGGCACCCCAGGGATGCCCACAAACCTGCAGCCCTGCCGGGGGGGCGGCCGACACCCACCTCCCGCCTGACCCTGTGCCGGGGAGCAGGTGCGAGGAGGTGACCCTGGGCTGGGGGCCTCTGCCGGCTCAGACGGGTCCAGGGGCAGGAGGGGGCCACCAGTGGCTTACAGGGTCACCACTGTGACCCCTGCCATCCACACCTGTACCTCCAGGTGCTTCTGAGTACCAGCTGTACCCGGGGGACAGGTGCAGGGTTGATCCCATGCTCACAGCCGGAGCTCCCCAGAAGTGCCCCCACCTCCTGGGGCAGGAGAGGGGTTGCTGTGGGTTACACTGTGTCCCTCCCAGAGTGACATCCTACCCTGCAGCTCCCTGGAATGTGACAGAGTCAGTTAGGAGAGGGTCATCCGGGGTTAGGGTGTCCCTGTAAGAGGAGACACACCCAGGGAGAGTGTGGGAGACCCGAGAGCAGAGCTGGGCCTGATGCGTCCCCAGCCCGAGCACCACAGCCAGGAACAGGAGGGAGGTCACCTGCATAGGGGAAGGACGAGCAGGGCTCAGGTCGGGGGCGGGGCCTCAGATCAGGGTAAGGCAGGGAGGACCCCGTGCCAGGCCTGTCACTCACCGACTGCGAGCTGTCCCTGCTGCTGTCCCGGGACCTGTTCTTGGCCAGCCGCTTCTTCTTCTTGTGCAAAGGCCTGGACTCCAGGATCATCTCCTCCAGCTCGAAGGTGGGGTCGCAGTGAAGGCGGCCTTTCTGTGGGGGGGACAGGAAGCTGAGCCCTGTCTGCCGGTGGGCCCACGCCTGCCCGGAGCCGCTGCCCATCGCCTGCCAGGCTTACATTGGGCACGAAGCCCGGCGCCACCTTCTTCTCACTCAGGTCCTGCCACAGCACGCCAGCCAGTGACGGGGCTGCCTGCATGTCCTGCAGGCTGGACACTCGGTGCTTGGGGTCCACAGTGAGGAGCTGGAACAGGGCCCACATCAGACGGTGCCCAGGCCCAGCACGATCCTGGTGCACAGAGCTGGCCGCCTGACCTGGGGCCAGGGTACCCCAGGGAGGTCTCACTATAAGGATCTCAAGGGTCAGGCAAGGAAAGGGGGCACCCACCTCAGGTCAGTGCAGTAGTGTGGCCAAGGGGACAACCTGGCCAAGCCCCTGGAGCCCAAGGCCAGCAGAGGGCATGTGGGGTCCCCAGGGACATTCTACTGTGATTCACCAGCAGGCGGCAGCCTCAGCCGGCCTCGCTGCAGGGAGGGCCACAAGGACCTGGGCACAGCCCCTAGGGAGCCCCAGGGCGCCCTGTGTCACGGAGACTGAGTGTCCCCCCACATGCTGTCCTTCCTCTTAGAGAAAAGGCGGTAGATCCTATCTGAGGCTTCCCCAAGGCATGAGGCTTGGCGCATGGATGGTCCCCGCTCCCTGTTTGGGTCTCTGGGGGTCAAGGCCCCACTGCAGGAACCACCTGGGCAGGTGTGGGCAGAACTGTCAGCGGAGACTGGGTGGAGAGCCCCCTGGGGCCCGGGAGAGGCCTCCGGCTGCTTGGCTATCATTCCAGGGGCGAAGGTCTCCAGCAGGGGTGAGGGCACACGGAGGAGGGCCCTGTGGGCCAGGAGCCGAGAGCCAGCTGAGCCTTGTGTGTCCAGCAAGCTCTCCCACGCCCGGTCCTGAGCCCGGAGGCACAGGTGTGCTCCAAGTGGGGCTCCCTGAGTGGAGAGCGGTGGGGCCAGCCCAGACCCACACCCCAGGTGGAGACGCTCTGATAGCAACACCCGGCCCGGTCCCTGCCAGGCTGCAGTCCCCTGGGCTGCCCCAGCCACACCCTCAGGCCGTGGGAGGTGCAGGGGGCTCTAGGGTCTTCTCTGGGTGCTCCTGGAGCTGCGGCCAGTTCATCTCTGACCGGACGGGGTAGAGGAGGCTCCCAGCCCACACGTGCCCTCCCCACAACACGCCTGACGTGGTGACCTGTGCCTCAGTTTGGGCATCTGTGAAATGGGGTGATCATCATGGGGATTAGGTGAGCCAACGGGTGCGTGGGCTTCAGCTCACAACCAGTGCTCCGAGCGGCCGAGCTACCGCCAGATGGCAAAGAGCCTGAGGCTGGATGGGCTGTGGGCTGGGTGGGGGGAATGCAGACCCACGACCGCAGGACCCGCGGCCTTCCTCCGACGGGAGGGGCTCACCTTCCGCAGCAGGCCTACCATCTCCTTGGACCAGGTGGGCACGTACTGCACACTCGCCGTGCTGAACAGCTGCACCAGGGACTCCACGGCATTGCTGGAGTGGATGTCGTAGGGCCTCTGGGGGCGGGGGGCAGCACTATACCAGGTGCCTCACCCCCATGCCCAGAGCAGGCACAGCTCCCAGGGGGAGCCTGGGGCCAGGAAGGAAGCAAGTCACCCCCAAGAAGGTCTGGGCCTGGGTGGGTGGGCCCTGAGGCCAGGAGGGGCTGCCTTCCTCAGGGTGGGGGCTGGCGGCGTGGCTCAGGGTGCTGGGCTTCAGAGGCCCCCATGAGGGGATGGCCACCAGGATGACTCCCACAGGAGAGTCCCAAGAAGGCCGACCTGCTGACAGGTTTCTGGCCTGCCCACGGCCCAGGGGACCCTCGGGGGCTTCCCTCCTGCACCTGCTCAGTCTCTCTCCACGCAGACGCTTCACTGAAAGTGTGCATCCATGGAGCGTGCAGCTGTCCCTGAGCACCCATGGCGGGGGGGCAGCCTCTTCCTTCCCTGGGCACTCGGGCCACCCCTGGGGGACACAGCCAGCTCAGGGTCCGGGGCCAGCTCCTTACCCATCCACGTAGCAGCTCATAGGCCAGCACCCCCACTGACCACCAGTCCACCTCGAAGGAATAGCCGCTCCCACCACTGACGAAGGACTGGAAGATCTCCGGAGCTTTCCAGGAAGGGAGAGGCAGCTGAGTATCCCGCACCCACAGGCCCCAGGCCCCCTCCCCCACTAATTGCCTGGGGGCCCCTCCTCCCCCTGGTGTGGGCTGTGGGATCAAACGGGCTATGCTTAGCAGCCTGCTCCCGTCCCACACCGTCCTGTGCCTTCAGGGAAGTGACATGAGGCCCCCTCCCCCCTGGCCTGGGTCCGACACAGCACGCCCAGTAGTGGGCCAGTGGCCTCGGCTCACCCATGTACGGCTTGGTCCCAGCTAGTGCAGTGGCCCGCTCCCCGTCCTTTATGATGGTGGCGATGTTGAAGTCGGTCAGATGCGCGTGCCCTGCGAGCAGAGAAGACAATGCAAGTGTCCCAAGGGCTGGAGATGCATCCCATGGGCGAGGCGCACGCCCCCCACGTCCAGCCTCACACAGCCTCGGCTCACCTTGCTCATCCAGCAGGATGTTGTCGGGTTTGACGTCCCTGTTGAGGGAGCAGGAAATGGGGAGATGGTCCAGGAGCCCTGTTCGTGCCTCGCAGTCCCTGGCAGGGCAGGGCGTTCCCTCAAGGGCCCCTCCCCACTCAAGGCAGAGGCCCCAGAGACTCAAGTGGGCCTTAAGAAGGTGCCGCCTGGCAACATTCTGACGGAGCCAGGTGAAACTAGCTATTCTGGTCCTGGGGCTGGGGACACCTCCAGCCCCCCACTGGCTGAGGCCAGACAGACCCGGGAGAATGCACTGGACGCAGGGGTGCTGGAGCCCCCGAGGACAGATGCAGAGCCCCCTCACCCACACCCCCAGGCTGGCCCGTCTCACAGAGCCCTGGGACTGCACCAAACTGATGATCTGGGTCTATGCCTTCCACCGGCTGGCCTCAGGCCTCACCTTCCCTGACTTCTAGGTGCTCAGTCAATGTTTCGTGCCTGAATCGTAACCAGATAACAGAATCCCCCGGGCAGAGATGCAGAGATCCCACCTATCCGACCGGATAATACACCACATGCATTTGCTTGTTTTGTTCTCCAGGTACAGCTTTATCTTCCTAACTTGCTTTCAGCTAATGTTAAAATTTGTTTCAGTCCCCAGGGGCATGGCAGATGAGCAAATGGCCTCTGCTAGGTGGTAGCCAGGATCCCACAGCTGGACAGACCAGGTGAAGGGGACACCGATCCTGGCTAGCCGGGGGCTGCTCGCACAGGACCCACCCCAAGGGGGGCACCAGGTGCACAGTTGTGGGGCTGGCCTTGGAGCCAAGCGCTGATGGGCGCAGGTGCTACACCTGAGGGCAGGTCTGTAGGCCAGGGGGTGGGCAGATCATGCAGGAGCCTGTCCGAGTTCTGCTGTGGTGTAGCCACCCTGCGGGTGGACTGGCCTAGGCAGGCGACCCACCCTGTCAGGTGTGCACACACCTGTGGATAATGTGCTGACTGCGCAGGTAGTCGAGGGCCAGCGCCATCTCGCAGATGTATAGCCTCACCGTGTCCTCGGAGAACTGGACGTTCTGCTGCAGGTGGTAGCGCAGGTCTCCACCCAGAAGCAGGTCCACCACCATGAACATGTCCTCCTCGTCCTGGAAGGAGTACCTGAGGGCACCGGGGGAGAACGTGGCACACGCATGACAGGGGAACCGAGGTCACAGCTCCTGCCACACCTGATGAACCGTCTAAGGGCTTGGGTACCCCCAACCTCCCACGGGCACTCCCCAGGAGCAGGGCCTTGCCCAAGGCACTGACTCTGCCCATGCTCAGGAGCTGCTCTGAGCCAGGACCCTCAGGAAGGGCAGAGCAGCCTATCCTGATGGGAGGCAGCCCAGTGGGGGATAGAGATGCTGGGAGTGACCAGGTTTCTGGCCTGCCCACGGCCCCAAGGGACCCTCAGGGGCTTCCCTCCTGCACCTGCTCAGACAGTCTCTCTCCACGCAGACGCTTCCCTGAAAGCGCGCATCCATGGAGCGTGCGGCTGTCCCTGAGCACCCATGGCGGGGGGGCAGCCTCATCCTGTGTGCATCCTTTGCTGTGTGCAAAACACAGCATCATTTTTGGCCATTTCCCTGCTGCTCCTCTTCTCTAAAAAGGGGATAAAAACATCTGCCTTGGAGGGTTGTTAAAGAATGGAGACCACAAGGCAAAATGCTCAGGCAGTGCTGCACAAGGGGCCAGCTTCTAACAATGGTGGTGATGGTGATGGTGATGATGGTTATGATGTGGTGATGGAAGTGATGGTGATGGTAATGACTGGTGGTGATGGAGGTGAGGTTGATGATGGTGATGATGATGGTGAGGATGGTGATGATGGTGGTGGTGATGGTGATGATGATGATGGAGGTGATGGTGGTGATGATGATGATGGTGATGATGGTGGTGGTGATGGTGATGATGGTGATGATAATGGTGATGGTGATGATGGTGATGGTGATGATGGTGATGGTGATGTTGATGATGATGATGGAGGTGATGGTGGTGATGATGGTGATGATGGTGGTGGTGATGGTGATGATGGTGGTGGTGGTGATGGAGGTGATGATGATGACGGTGATGGTGGTGATGGAGGTGATGGTGGTGATGGTGATGATGGTGAGGATGGTGATGATGATGGAGGTGATGGTGGTGATGATGGTGATGATGATGGAGGTGATGGTGATGATAATGGTGATGATGATGGCAATAACAAAACAACAGTTTAAGGGTCTCCTTCCGCTTTGTAATTTCTTTTGTGAGCTCTCAGAGAGAACTCTTATTGTTAAGCAACTGGCTCTTTCAGAATAACATTACAAAGAATTGACTTTTTTATGTGCTATTCTTCTGCCTGCCCACCAGAAGCCACCCTGCCCTCATCTCAGGGACAGGGGGCCTGGGGAGGGGGATATGGGACCAGAGAGCAAAGGGACTTGGAATGCCAGGCTCCAGGACAGGTCATGAGTCCTGGGGAGCAGTGGACGAGAGCACATGGCCTCCCACACCGAGGTGAAGCTGCAGCGGCCCTGTGCTGCGCGGCCCTGGGATGGTGGGAGGCAGGCCAGCCTGGGCAGATGGGGTCCTGGCTGCAGCAGCACAGGAGGGGCACAGTACCTATAATGATGGCTCCCATCCGGCCTCACCCTATGTGGAGCACTTTGCCTGTATAGATGCATCTCCTGTTCTGGCCTGGGGACCACTCTGACCTCTCTTCCACTGAAGAGGTGACTCTGAGGCAGGGTGGACGACTTCAACCCAGGAGCCCATGTCCTGGCCACTAGGCACCCTGCCTCCCCAAGAGAGGCCCAGATGGCCTGGGAGGGAAGCTAAGACCCCAATGTTGGGAAATCCCAGGTCTTCCTTTTTGACAAGCTCCAGGCCGTGTCATGGTTGAGGGTCAACCACAGAGAGCAGCCTGTTCCCGTGAGGCTGCAAGCGGGTCGTTTGCACCGCACTGAACTACCACCCCAGCAGAGCAGTCACCATCTCTGAGGACGAGGGCTCTGACTCTCCCTGGCCATCAGGCAGAGAGGGCAGGTTTAAGGGGTGCTTGGATGCCTCCAGCTTTAGAACCACTGTCCCAGGATGCTGAAGACGCCACGATGGAGCACAATGATGTGGTGTGGCCCTGCTCGCCTCTGCTCGCACAGAGACTAGACAATCATAGGGCCGTGGAGCCACAGCGAGGGAGGTCAGGGGCCGCATCCGGGGGTGAGGAGCCGGAGGAGGCCTGGGCAGCCCCGGGTCTCACTGCCCTGCAGGCCTGGCTCAGCACCCGGGCAAGGCCATGCCCCCCGTGGCACAGCCAGCTCCTCCTCCTGTATTACAACCAGGCAGGACCCCGGGTTCTGACTCGCGGAGCTGGCTGCGGGCTGCCGGTCACATTGAAGGACCTCCTATACCTGTGGTCGCCCCAGATGAATAACCGAAGGGGGGTCTTCAGCCCTGAGTGTGTCCCCTGGAGGAGCTAGCACCAGGTCACTCCCAACAATGCCCTGTCCCACCTTTCTGTCCCCAGATGCTGGTGGGGCTGCCTCTCCCTCCACGTTTGGCTGACAGACCCCCGCTCATACTGGGGGGTGTTTCAATTGTCCTGAGGCGGCACTACCAGGACCAGAACCCATTCACTGCATGCCTTCCCGGGTGCTTGAGCACCTATGCCCACAAGGGCCCTCGGGAAAGCCACCCAGTCCATAAGCCCATCAGGGAGCACAGACCCCAGGATGGGGGCTGTCAGGGAGGATTCAGTGAGGACCTCATGTCAGGGAGGACCCTCGCGCAGCAGGACTCCCACGTAGGAAAGAGGCAGTGATTTCATTGCAGTTAAGGGCTCCTTCCCCTCCAGGAGCTGGTCTGGGTGCCCATTTTATGGAAGAACTCGACCCCAATACTCTCCCCACTGGCTTTAGTGGCAGAAACTCCATGGGCCACAGGCCTCTTTGTGGGAAAACCTGGCCCTCCCGTGGGTGGGGAGACCTGCGTCAACACGGTGCGCCCTGCACACCTGGACAGCTCTGGCCCCAGGGAACCAGAAGCTGAGTGGATGGAGAGTCAGGGTGTCCCCAAGGCAAGGGAGGAGGGAGCACCGGGGAAGGGCCCTGGGGCAGGGGAGGGTGGTGGCTGATCACCCACCACAGGTTCACCAGGAAGACATGCTCGATCTCCTGCAGGATCTCCAGCTCCCGGAACACGTTGCGCACCTCATCCCGCTCGATGCACTGCTGCTTGTTCATGTACTTCATGGCGTACATCTTCTCTGTGTCCCGCTTCTGCACAATGCACACCTGGAGGGCAGACGGAATGTCCACGTCGATGCCACCACCCTCACCCCCCCACCCTGCCCACTGCAGACGAGACCCGGAAATGACCGGATGTCTTTGGTGGGGCAGGACCCAGCCAAGAGCACAGCGCTGGGGCCCCAGCCCCTCCCCAGCGGTGCCCTGGCACCCCTTCCCGGGGCTCGGAGCAGCCACTGACTTGGAGGGCTGTGGGGGGAGGTCGAGGAAGACCCCCTCAGCCAGAGCCCTGCACCGGGAAGGCCCCATGTGCGAGAGCTGCTGTCCTCATCAACCCTCTGCCACCATCCCCATCGCAACAGGGACTCTCCTGTGACGACAGGGTCCTTGCAAGGCTCTTAAATGCCAATCCCCTGGGGCTCGAAACCGCAAAGTCAGCACTGTTGGCGGTGCTTACACGTTTGGGACGGAGAGACACAAGAAGCACAGAGTTGGCTGGGGCAAGCCCCAGTGGCCAAGGGGCATCAGTCAGAGCCAGGGACGAAGGTCTCCAGAAGGAAGGGGGCTAATGCACAAAATCGTGGGATGGGGTGGGCAATGCCATGGCCCCCATTCAGGTCGTAGAGAGACCACTCAAGGACAGATAACCAAAGCTACATGTGAGGGTCCCCTCGCCTTCAGGCTTCAGGTCTCCAAGCCGCAGGAGCCAGGGGTGGGGTGGGGGGTGGGAAAGAATGGGAGGAAGTGGAAGATTCTAGAACTCGAGGTGGGTGGGAGGCTGTCCCCGGCGCCTCACCCAAAGGCAGGTGGCCTGGCCCTGACCAGAAGCGTCAGTGAGCATCAGAGTCTCAGGCCAAACCCCTGGGATCCAGCCCGTGTGGGGGAAGCCCACATTCCCCCACTGGGAACGCGTCCTAAGAAATGAAGGTGCTTTTTTCAGAAGATGTTCATGATAGTTGAACGAACTGCTAATAACAGACTTTCAAGCAACCTTGACTTCCAACGACCTTATGGACACGGGCAAGTGAGCTCTGTGAAACACCACGCAGCCGCTGAAACAATTTTTATAAAGACTTAATGACATGTGACTATTTTTATAATGCCAAGCAAAAAACCTAAGCCTACGGCATTTAACGCACGACGTGGATGTGATGTACTGGACACGGGCAGAGATGGGAATGGAGTCCGGGGCAAGCACCCCTCTCCCGCCGCTCTGGCTTCTGCACTGTTACTGTGAGGGTATCTGGTGGGCAGGCGGCGGGTGACCGCTGGTTTTGGGGTGCTGGACGCAACAACTGAGCAGCCTTAGCCCGAGCGCTGAATGCGCCCACATCATCCAGTACAGGACCTTCGTGAGCTGCAGATGCAGTTTCCAAGGTAACGCCGCGCACCACCCTGCCAGCCCCCAGGGAGGCAAAGCTTGCCGGGGTGACACCCACGGGCACGGAGGAGCATCCTGCCATGCTGAGCTACACGGACCTCTGAGCCTGCTCAGCTCCCACCTCAAACCCACCCGGGGACCTGTGCAGGCCACCAAGCCCCCCGCAAAGCTCTGCCTAAAACTGCCTCTAGCTGGGCTGACTGCCAGAAAGCTAGCAGCCCAGGGATCTGGGGGCCAGCCTCAGACCTGCGTTGCTTTGGTCTTCCAAAGCCCCCCCCACCTGGTCTGGATGCCCCATGTTAAGCCCGTCCTTGCTGCTGTGCCTGGACCACAGTGGGGGACAGACACATCGAAGCCCCGGCACTGAGGGTGGGCAGAGTGGGGCAGGGAAGGGGGGCCACAGCCAACATCCTGCCCCATCCGTGCCGCCAAGGCTTCCCATGTGGATAAAGGCTGGGAGCAGTTCCCGTCTTCCCACGGCAAGAGGAAATGTGATGACCAGAGGGAGGGGCCCCGCTGTGTGGTCTTTTGTCACGGTGGCCCCAGGAAGCCAAGATGGCAGGCCGCCCGCCACCCTGGGAGCCCTGAGGGACGGAGAAGGGTGGCCGGTGTCACTGGACAGCGTGGTCCACGTCTGCTCTCTTTCCCAGCTGTCGGGGCTGCTGGGTGGAGACGGGCAACCTGTCTGTCGCACAGGGTTCCGGGCCTTGCTGGACAGAGACTGGGCGGAGGCGAAGCCCCTCCCACGCATGAGGCCACCAGTGTGAGAACGATGTGCTTTCTAGAACCTTCCTCATTTCAGCGAAATGGCCCAAAAGTCATCTGCAGGAGGGACAGCCCAAGCGCTCTCCCAACGGGCCTTGGACCGCCGGGCTCAATGGGCTGTGCTGCGTCCCCATCTCCATGAGCCCGACCTCCAATCTGGGGCCGTTCCCAGGGACGCAGACTGACAAAAAGGAGCAGCAGAGACCAGGGTTTCCCGGTAGGTATGTGAATGTGTGTGATCAGCTGCGATCACAGCCATAAAGCCCAGTCACCTGCTTGTCACCCTGGCTCTCGACGCTCTTCCTCAGGATTTCTGAGCCTGTGCAGAGCGGGGCATGGCTGGAGGGCTCCCTCCGTCAGCTGCACACCCAAGGGGCCCAAAGTGGCAGACAGACTGCACCCCCACCGGGACTCCTGGCCGAGGTCATGGGAGGAGAAGCCCAGAGCTTCAGAACCGCCTCCACGTCTGCCGAACGAGGCACATTTGGTGGCTCCCCGCGAGGCTGGCAGCCCGGGGAGCTGAAGGCCGGCCACCCCCTCCCACTTTTGGGAGACCTGGCTGACCCGGTGTTGCGGTCATGGACTGTGCACATGCGGGTTACCACGGGCCCATCCGGCACGTGACAGCCAGGAACACTGGTGAGGTCCCGCTGAACTGCGGGAACAAGGCCCCAGGAGCCCGGCGCTCACACCACATCCCAGGGTGTGGTCGGTCCTGCTGCTGACGACTGTCAGCTCCCGCCACACAGACAGACAGACGGACGGACGCAAGAGCAAAGCCAGCCCTGTTTCCAGTGGACACTGCCCTTGGGGAGGAGAGCGCCGACTTCTGGGTGGGACGTGGGTCCAGCGAGGCGGGGCACCTTCAACACGGGGGAAACCAAGGCCCCAGCCGTGGAGCGACTGAGAGCTGCCCTCCAGGACTCGGTGAAATTCTGAAAGAGGAAGTTGTCCCAAGTGCCAGGAGGTACTGCTAGCCAGCCGTCTGATGATGGGAGGGGGCTCTCCACGGCTCGGGGTTTGCGGGTCCAGCCCCTGGCCACCCCTATTAGGTAGGTCTCAGCCTCAGCATCACCTGCCTGCCTGGTGGGAGGGAAGGCCGCGCTGGAGGGGTAGGGACAGCTGCGTGCCGAGGCCGCCGGCCGGAAGGGGGGCGGCAGCAGCCCGGGTTTTGGCGGTGGAGACCTGGGGCTCTGCTTCGGCCCCTGACGGGACAGCAGGATCTGCGGCGCTGGGCTTGGGCGCCACCCCCGCCATTCCCACTGTCCCCGTGGTCCCTGCTCAGGCGGCATTCACAGGACGAGAGGGGAAGTGCTCCGGCCTCCGAGGCTGGGAGCCCGCTGCCCCATTCAACCATCTCCTCCAAGGGCCTGGTCTGGGCTCTCTGAGCTGCTTCCTCCAGTCGAGGACTGGAGCAGACAGGCAGGATGGAACCGGACTGAAGCGCCAAGAGGAATGAGCTCTGCTGACCGGGGCACCCGGGCGGCTGGGGTTCCATGCGTAGCGCCCAGCGACAGCCCAGGAGCGGTGGTGGGTGACGGCCGGGTAGCGGCCATCTTAATTCAATGCTGTTGGTGTGTGTTGCAGATTTAGTGATTCACCCCAAGCTCTTTTCCTTTCCAAGTAGTTTTTGTTCCCCAGAAAGCAAATGCCTGGCAACAGATACTTCAAGCCGCAAACACTATGGGGAAGGTGCCTCCTGCTTCCACCTGGGGAGCTTCTAGAAGCTGGGGGGACAGGCCGGCACGGGTGGAGAGAGAGCAGGAGCGCGGCTCCGTGGCACCGCCCTCCGCAGGGCGCCTGGCTTCCCTGACACGTGGACCCATGTCCAGACCCCACGCGGGGCTGCCCCTCGCCAGGGAGGGCTGGGGTCGGCATCTCCCAGGATGGGCGGGCGTGTGCGGGAGGTGGGGGTGTGCCGACCTCTGGGTGCTTTGACGCCCCTCCGCCCCACCTCTCGGCCCGCACCCAGTTTGCTGACTTGTCTGCCTCTGCCTGCCTCTTCCAGCAGCCCCATGGACCCGGATTTTGTCTGCCTCGTTCCCAGATGTTTCAGCAGGACTGGCATAGAGTAGTGAATATTTCATTAATTATTTGAAGCCGAAGGGTCCCCGTGCCGTCCAGGGGGGCTTCCTTCCCAGGCAGAAGGAACAGGTCTGGCCATGTTCCTGCCCCAGGGCCCCCAGCAGGATGCTGGGCGAGCCAACTGCAGGCAGGACCTAGCCCACAGGACCCCGCATCCACAGACGGGCCCTCGATCGGGGGCGGTTCATATTCATCTTCTCATGTCGTGCCCACGGCGACCGCCCCCTCATGGGCGAGGAATGTGGACGAGGAGACAGGGTGGGAATGCAGTGGGCGCCCATGCAGCCCCATCCCAGCGGCAAACACAGCGCCTGAGTCAAGAGGCCGAAAGATGGCAACGAAAGGTTTAAAACCACCTCTGCTTGCAGGTGACCTGGTTTTGCATCTGGATTTGATGGAATCAAAGTAAGCACAGGGGAGTGAGGGAGGCTGTCATTCTCTCCGGAAAGACTCAAGAGTGGGCTGAGCAAGTGGAAGGCAGGCCAGGTTGGGGGACCTCATCGGCCTGTGGCTCCTTCCCGAGCAGCTTTACCAGCACAATGAAAACTCCGCCAGGGATGTTTCACTATGGTTTGGGCTCTTTGTTTGCTTTGTTCGTGTTTCTTTTTTCCTGGAGCTGACAAGTTGGTTGTACAATTCATTTGGGAAGATAATCAATCAAAAGTAGACAGAAAAAAAAAAAAAACCTCTAAAAGGAGAGCAAGGCCATGCCTTTGCCCACCGGGCAGAGCTTCCTTAGTAAGCGGTCCTGGAGCAGGACAACGGGGCTGGCCAAAGGAAATGAAGAGAGTCCGGAATCAGCCCCACCGCGCAGGGA